GAGTTCAAGACCAGTCTAGCAACACAGAGAGACCTCTTTCAAAAAAATCTATAAACATTACCATTTTTTTAGTAAATGTGTAGAAACGACTGAATTGTAATGGTTAAATTCCCAAGACGCTCAGTTCTTCAGGGATGGACCAAAGGGCTGGACACTTTGTTTAAAAAAGTGTCATGAGTTTCACCAAGCTTATGTAAGATATCTTAGGGAGAACAGTTTATATTGCAAACATCATGTTGCTTGGAATGCAGGTGTCCTTGTTCCTCTATAAACATAACTGGTCTATTTCAGTTAGTGTAATGCCCTCTATGTCCATCCGTGTTGTTGCAAATGGCGTATTTTTATGGTTGAATAACATTCTATTTTATGTTTGCCACATTCTCTTTATCCATTAATCTGTTAAGAGACACTGATTGTTTTCATTATCTTGGTTATTATGAATAATGTTGAAATGGACATAGAAGTGTATGTGTCTCTTAGAGATGGTGATTTTATTTTCTTTGGGTATATACCACAAAGTGGGATTACAAGATCATAGACTAGTTTATTTCTAATTTTATTTGCAGACCCTCCATATTATTTACATCCCATGAACAATTTATGTGTACCCTTTTGTCCAAATCCTGGATAGCACTTGTTATTTTTTACCTTTCTATGAAAATCCACCTTAATAGGTCTGTGGTGACATCTCATTGTGGTTTACATTTGCATCACCATAATGAGGAGTGGTGTTGAGCACTGCTTTTATACCTGATGACAACTTGTACATCTTTCATGGAAAATGTTCATATGGCTCCTTTATTAATTTTTTCAGATAAGATTGCTTTTCTGCTATTTAGTTGAATGTTTTTCTTAAATATTTTACGTATTACCCCGTTACCGGATATGTGGATTGCAAATATTTTCTCCCATTTCTTGCGTTGTCTTTTTATGTTCTATTATTATTTTTTTTGGAGACAGAGTCTCACTCTTTAGCCTGGGCTTGAGTGCCATGGCATTAGCCTAGCTCACAGCAACCTCAAACTCTTGGGCTCAAGTGATCCTCCTGTTTCAGCCTCCCAGGTGTCTGGGACTATGGGCACGCACTACCGTGCCTAACTCCTTTTTTCTATTTTTAATTGTGTGGCTAATTTCTTTCTATTTATATTTATATTAGTGACAGGGTCTCGTTTTTGCTCAGGCTGGTCTCGAACTCCTGAGCTCAAACAATTCTCCCGCCTTGGCCTCTCAGAGTGTGGGATTGCAGGGGTGAGCCACCATGGCCAGCCTTTTTATTTTAAGTATTTCTTTTGCTGTGCAGAAACTTCATAGTTTGATGCAGTCCCGTTTGTTTATTTTTGCTATTGTTACCAGTGCTTTTGGTGTCATTTCCAAGAAATCTTTGCCAGTACACCTGTGTCATGAAATTTTACCCTATGATTTCTTCCAGATGTTATGTTTTCAGGTTATATATGTAAGTCTTTTATCAATTTTGAGTTGCTTTTTATGCATGGTTTAATAGATAAGGGTCCAATTTCAATTTTTTGTATCTACATATCTAGTCTTGGCAGTACCATTTATTGAAGAAACTATTGAATCCTCTTGTGTATTTTATACCACCTTTTCAAAAACCAGTTGAATGCATATGCATATATAATTTTTATATTTTATATTTTGACCACTTTAACTTTAATTGATGTGGTATTTATTTTGTTAACAGTATGAGATGAAATCTAAATGTTTATTTTCACACTTGTAGTGATTCCAGCCTCATTTACTGAGATACTTGTTCTCTATACTTCGACTAAAATACCCAAATTTAATCCTTCTTGCCATTTCATACACTTTCATTCAGGACGTTTTTATGCAATATTTAATATATTAGTGATGCCTAAACCTTTCTCTACCTTGATAAACAAGTTTATGCTTTTATTAGCACAAACCAAAAAACTTGAGCAATCCTAGACTATTATAATCTCACATTCCCCAACCAACCTAACAGGAAGCACTTCTGAATGTGCACAACATGTGACCACTTCTCACTGCTTCCCCTGAGTCCACACTGGTCTGAACCATATCTCTATGCCTGCAGCTGTTTTCTGACTGGGTTCCTGCTGGTTTATCCCCTCTAAATTTACTTTACACTTATCAGTGCCATTAGTCCAAGTTTGAAGAACATGTTCATCATTTTAATTGAGGTAAATGTGGTGTCCTAACATGGTGAGGCAGAGAGGAAGAGACTCCACATAGTTATGTGGGCAGATGTAGGCCAATTTGCCTAAAGCAGCCACTGTGTGTGGTTTCAATCTCACAGATCCAGGGGTTCTGTGTGACATGATTGGCCACCAACATTTAAAGGTCTACGTGTTAAATGACCTTTTGCACATTCCGTGCTGAGATCTGATCCAAATGAAGTGTTACCTTCTTTCTAACACTTTCTATTCTTCATTTCCTCCACCTGGTAGCATCTTCTCTTTCTCATGACTCTAAGGTCCTTTGTCATATGACAAAAGGACATAGGACATCAATTTTTAGTATAGCATACATAGTCTGCTTTTTCCTAACATTTTCAAATTTGAGGCTGTTCTGATGGGATTTCACTTCCTATGTGATTTTCACTGTTTCTCCCTCTCTCACTTTGTGTCTTTCCTTCTCTCTTTCCCTCTCCCAATCCTTTTTGGTTTTTACCCAAATGTCATGGCCAAGAGAGCCAAAAATATTTTTTCTCAAGACTTATAATTTAATAAGACAGGCAGTACAGTGATAAGTACATGAATTATAAATCAGAAAGTTTCATAAAATGAGCCATTAAGGTGTTTTCATGAAGAATGATGGAGTCAGGGCAGAGTGGGGAAGACCTACTTTAGAATGGTATTAACTCTTCATATCAGAACTGATAAGCGATGCCCTAGGAAGAGAGGAAGGGAAAGCGTTCTCCACAAGAGACAAAAGCAAAGACCTAAGGTGCATGAGAGACTGTTCTTAAGATCCACATACGGAATTCCTCTGTTACTTTGGTTGCCTGATTTTGGTTGGTGCCCTTTTATAGGGGGCTGGGGCTCCTCTTTGGGGGTGTGTTTTCCGTTTGGTTCTTCATACTTCCTGAGTTCCTTCGCTGATTTCTTCCCATTTCTCTCAGTTGTTGCTTCTTTTCTTTAGGTTTTTGTTTCGGTATTCAGTTGCCTTGTTTAGTTTCTGAGCCAGTAGGTGGTGTCTGTGGGTGAGATTCGACCACTCCCTGTATAATGAGTCAGTAGGTGTCATGAAAAGGGTGTGCAGGATGCTCTCCCTGTCAGTAGGTGGCGCTTGCTTGACGGAACAGGCTACGCTGTTGTTTTTATGGCCTGTTATCAGCTCTTGTTCCTGTAGACAGAACTCTAGTGCCTCAGGTGGTAGGTGGACCCTGGTACCTCCAGGTGTGTCCTTTTCTCCCCTTCAGTGAGGGCTAGTCTAGGAGAGAGTCTGCGGAGCTGGGTTGGGTAAGCTGCCGTCAGGCACCAACAATGTCGTTAGCAGGGGTCAAAGTTCTGTTCTCTGCTTCCAGGCAAAGCTGACAGTGAGGGGCTGGAATAGCCCCACTCAGTCAGAAAGTCTGCGTGTGGGGGTGGGGCTGTCTGAGACTCGCACTCTGGAGCGGGCCTGGCCTCTTTCCACCCTCCCCAACTCCACGGCTACTCCTGGGCCTCTGCCAGCAGGCCAGACCACACGCCACCAGGCCTCCCCTGGGGTGAGGGTTGCCTTCTAGAACGCTGATCTGCCCCTAAAGGCACACACACCTCAGTAGGCTGGTCACAAATATCCTTTCTCTGCCCCAGGCAATGCGAGGCCTCGATGCACAGAATGGGGTCTGCAGGTCTGACCACTGGGTCCCAGAGTTCAAACTATATCCCCACCAGGGAGAGCAGTGCCAGTCCCAATTCACCCACATGCAGCCCACGCTGGGTCTATGTCTCTCAAGCTCAGGGTCTGCCCCTTCCTCCTGGGATCACCGTGCCAGCAGCACCTGGGAGGGCTGGAGGGTAGGGAGCTCACAGTCTGTGTTCCACTTAGTCAGCTGTGGGGCCCCAAATGGGAAGGTCCCGTTCCCTGTAGGTGCCTCCTGCTGGTGGCTATATTGTCTCTCTGTCCCTCTGGGCAGCCGTGGGTAGTGTTGGGGGAGGGGACGAGGAGGCAATATGGAGTCTGCCTCGCAGCTTGGGTCTGTGCACATGGAGGTGCCCCAAGGGAGTTCGGATCCTGTTGTCACGTCCGCTACTGGCTTACCACTCACTGGTAGCTGTCATCGCTGGGCTGGTGTCTACAGGTCTCGCCACTCACTGGGGTGCCCACCAGCAGTCCGGGATGCAGTGGAGAAGAAATGGCCGATTCACATATACTTCCCGCTGGTCTCCGGGCTGCTCCGGGGGTCCCAGCTTTCAGATCTCCTCCGTGACCTCCTCCTATGGAGTCTCCCATGGTCTCGTACTCCTCCTTCCGACCCTCCTCGGATATAGGCGGGCAAGGAGCGAGGGAAGGGGTAGAGGATTTTTTTCTTCTTCCCATTTCTTTAAAAAACCCACACGAAAAACACACACACACACAACCGACGTTTGTTCCCAAGTAGAAACATAAATAGGGCAGGATAGAACACTCTGTCCTTCTCTCTTCCAAAGTCAGAAAAGGAAAAGGAGACGCAGGGCTCGGGGCTGGGCCCGCGGGGCCTTCCGCAGCGGTGCGCAGGAAGGGCGGCTGGGACGCGCGGGTGCGTGCGGCGCGCGGCTGCCGCGGGGACAGAGGCAGCGCGAGGGCGGGGGTCATGCGCTCGCCCCCCCAGTAGGGGGTCCAGCTTGTCGAGTCCGGGGCGCCCTCTCCGAATCCTGGGCTCCCTCCGGGGGGTCCCCGGGGGCAGTGCCCTCTCCGCGTCCCGGGCGCCCAAAGGAGGGTCCCGGGCCGCGCACTCTCCGAGTCCGGGCGCCCGCGAACCCCCCCCCCGGGAGCCCGCCCCTCGGGAGGGCGGCCGCGCATGCGCGCCGCACGCCGGCTCAGTACGCGGGCAGCTGGTGCTGGGGCAGCAGCTGGCAGCCGGTGTTGACGTGACTGGGGACTTTCTGCTTGAGCTGCGCCACCTGCTCGCGCAGCAGGCTCGCCGTGGAAGCCAGCTCCGTGTTCTGGCTCTTGAGCGTCTTCACTTTCTCCTCGAGGCGCGAGATGCGCTCCAGCTTGCGCTTGCGGCACTTGGAGGCGGCGATGCGATTGCGCAGCCGCTTGCGCTCCGCCTTGATGCGATCCTGCGTGTCCATGTCGATGGGCGACAGCGGCGGGCTCTCGCCAAAGCTCGGCACGTCGGGCACCGTCTGTGGCTCATCCTTGAGCGCGGCCAGGGGGCGGCCCCAGCGCGCCCGGGGGTGGCAGCGGAGGCGGGAAGGGCATGGGCTCGGCGGCGAAGGCGACCGTCGCCGCCCGCGTAGCTGCTCAGGTTCACGTAGACGGGCGCCTCGGGCGCGGCGGCCAGCTCGCCGGAGGGCGCGGAGCCCGCGGCCGTGCCCGAGGGCCCCGCGGCGCGGCAGCGCGCGGGCGCGCGGCCGCGCCCGTGCCGTGCTGGTTCTGCTTGTGCAAATCCTCCAGGGCCTTGACAAGGCCCTCGGCGAACTCCTGCTCCTCGCTGGCCGCCACCTTGGGGTAGAGGAACTGCGTGCTGGTCGGCGTGGTGGTGACCAGCCCGTTGGACTGGATGATGAGGCGCTCGAGCTCCGGGGAGGCGAGCTTGAGCAGCCCCAGGTCTGGGGAGGCGAGCAGGCCGTCGGGGGGTGCGGTGCTGGGCGCGCCGGAGGCGGCGCGGCCCCCAGCTTGAACGCCGCCGGCCACCTGCTCGCTCAGGCTCAGCGTCAGCGCGTCCTTCTTCATCATGCTGCCGGCCGCCGCCGTCGGGACGCCCCGGGGAACAGGCGGCCCGGGGACGCGAAGCTGCTGCCGCTGCCACTGCCACCGCCGCCCAGGCCGCTCAGCGCCTCATCACCATAGAAGGGTGTTTCCATCCTCCGCCTCCCCCGCAGCGCCGGCCCGCACCCCCCCCCCCGTGCGCTCGGCTTTGCGCCCGCCCTGGCCGAAGCCGCTGTGCCCGGCCCTCCGCTGGCGGCGGCTCCCATAATTTCTTAATATCAAATAAAAACACTATTTTGGTAATTTTTGTGGTTGTAATTCTGTTGCTTTACAACCACTGAACATTTTGCACGTCCCATATTAATGTTTTACGTGCCATATTTAGCTTAGAGACACAAGGTAACAAAATTTAGTATATTCATTGGAGTTAAAAGGCCAAAGACCATGATTACTGATGAATATGTCAAATAAATAGACATTCCAAAGCCCATTTTCCTGAAAACAGTCACAAGACAGAAAAAAGAGCATGAGAGCCCTGTATATTCAAGAAATGGGCAAAGCCTACAGAGACATTGGATTATATGAAGAAACCTAATGTCATAGGGTTACCAGAAGGGGATGAAGACAACACTCACAGGTTGGACAAACTATTTGAAGATATAATAGAGGAAAATTTCCCAGGCCTTGCTAAATATCTCGATATACAGGTTCAAAGCACAATTGACTCTGGGAGATTCAATGCAAACAGGAAGAGTCACGACAAGCAGTCATCAGACGGACCAAAATATCAACTAAAGAGGCCCTTCTAAGAGCTGTAAGACGAAAGAAGCCAGTAACATACAAGGGAAAGCCAATTCGCATAACACCAGACTTCTCTAATGAGACTTCACAAGCAAAAAGAGACGGGAGCCCCATTCTCACTCTTTTGAAGCAAAACAATGCCCGGCTTAAAAATCTTATTCCCTGCAAAACTAAGCTTCGTATATGAAGGAGAAATAAAGACATTTCCAGACAAGTAACGCCTCAGCGAATTTACCAAGACAAGACTAGCCCTACAAGAAGTACTCAAAACAGTGTTACGCATGGAACATCAAAAATAATAACCCACGAATATAAAAACAAAAAACCAACCCCAAAGATATTACAATTGCTCAAGACAGAAATCATAGCAACAACATCAAACCCAACAGAATGAACAGAAATCTACCTTACCTATTAGTACTCTCAATAAATGTGAATGGCTTAAACTCTCCACTCAAGAGACATAGGCTGGCTGAATGGATAAGAAAATACAGGCCAAGTATATGCTGTCTTCAGGAAACACATCTGACCTGCAAGGATTCATATAGACTAAAGGTAAAAGGGTGATCAGTATTCCAAGCAAGTGGAAACCAAAAGAAGCTTGGCGTTGCCGTTCTAATTTCAGACGATTTAGTTTCTAAACCAAAAAAAGTAGTGAAAGACAAAGAGGGTCATTATATAATAGTGAAGGGCACAGTTCAACTAGAAGAGATAACAATTTTAAATATATAGGCACTCAAATTAGGTGCACCAAGATTCATAAAGCAGCCCTTACGGGATCTAAGCAAATGGATCTATAGCAACTGCATAATTACCAGAGATTTCAATACCACACTGAGGGCACCACACAGATCCTCCAAACAAAAAATAACAAAATAATGGACTCAAAACTCTAGAACCATTGGAACTGACTGACATTTACAGAACATTCTACCCCAAATCCACTGAATATACATTCTTCTCATCAGCACATGGGACATTCTCTAAGATTGACCATATCCTAGGACACAAAGTAAACCTCAAGAAATTTAAACAAATAGAAATCATACCATGTATCTACTCAGATCAGAGTGGAATAAAAGTAGAAATCAACTGTAACAGAAACTCACCTTTCTACAGTAATTAAACAATCTCCTACTAAATGATAACTTCATAAATGTAGTAATAAAATAACTAACTAAATAAATAATAATAAATAATAAATCAAGATGGAAATTAAATAATTCTATGAAGAAAATGACAATGGAGAGACAAGATATCAACTCCTCTGGGACACAGCTAAAGCAGTTCCGAGAGGAAAGTTTATCTCCATAAATGCCTATAACCAAAAGTCAAAAAGATCACAAATAGACAGTCTAATGAAACGACTCAAAGAGCTGGAAAAAGAAGAACAGACCAGCCCCAAACCCAGAAGAAGTGAAATCAACAAGATCAAATCAGAACTAAACACCAAATTGAAAACAGGGAAGCATTTCAGGACATTAACAAACAAAAAGTTGGTTCTTTGAAAAAATAAACAAAATTGACACGCCACTGGCTAAGCTAATGAAAAGTAGAAAAGAAAAATCACTCATAAGCTCAATCAGGAACAAAAAAGGAGATATCACAACTGATCCCAAAGAGATAAAAGATACAATGTATGCTTCCTCTGCTTCCTCTGCTGTCGTTGTTCTGGTTGGTGCACCGAGCTCCGCGGCTCCGAGAGCCGGTCCGTCCCTTTCCCGTCGCCGCCATGAAGTGGATGTCCAAGGAGGACCACTCACTGGAACACAGATGTGTGCAATCCTCGAAGATCTGAGCGAAATATCCTGACCGGGTTCCAGTGATTGTGGAAAAGGTCTCAGGCTCTCAGATTGTTGACATTGACAAACGAAGTACTTAGTTCCATCTGATATCACTGTGGCTCAGTTCATGTGGATCATCAGGAAAAGGATCCAGCTTCCTTCTGAAAAGGCTATCTTCCTGTTTGTGGATAAGACAGTCCCACAGTCCAACCTAACTATGGGACAGCTTTACAAGAAAGAAAAAATGAATATGGATTCTTGTATGTGGCCTACAGCGGAGAGAACACTTTCGGCTTCTGAGGGCCAATGCTGGGCTAGGTGCACTGTTCCTGCTTGTGTATCTCGTAAATAGCTGGCCATTTTCAGTTGTTATACCAGAGCCTCTCCACAAAGACCTATTAGTGCCATTGTAACTGGATTTATTTCTTAATATATGGGAAGGTTTTGTTTCCTTAGACTAGTAAATCATCATACAGAGTTTTATTTTAAGTTTTTCCTTTTGTGCATTATCTTCATGGCTATACTCTCCAGGGAACTTGTTCTTCTGGAAATCATATTTAATGATTACACTGGGGAAAAGAATCCCTTTTCAATAAATGGTGCTGGGAAAACTGGATAGCCACTTGTAGAAGGCTAAAGCACGACCCACACCGTTCACCTCTCACAAAAATCAACTCACGCTGGATAACAGACTTAAGCCTAAAGTATGAAACTATCAGAATTCTAGAGGAAAAAGTTGGAAACACTCTCCTAGACAAGGACTTAGGCAGACTTAGGGTTAGACTCAGGGTTTAGTGTTCAGTTTAGGGTTGGGGTGAAGGTCAGAGATAAAAAGAGGGGTAGAATTTTGAGCTAGGTTTAGGGTTAGGGTTAGGAAGGGCTGGGCTAATGTTAAGGTTAGGGATACGGTGAAGGACATAAATAGGGAGCGGTTTAGGGTTTTCAACTAGGGTAAGGGTTGGGGTTAAGGGCTGGGCTAGGGTTTGTATTAGGGTTAGGTTTAAGGGCTGGGTTAGGGTTAGGGGTTAGGGATAGGGTTAGGGTTAGGGTTAAGGTCAGTGTCAGGGTTATGCTTAAGGTTAGCGTCAAGGTCAGGTTCATCGACAGGTTCAGGGTCAGCGTCAGGGTCAAGGTCATGGTTATCGTTAGGGTCAGGGTCCTGGTCAAGGTCAGAGTCAGGGTCAGGGTCAGAATCAGGGTCAGGGTTAGAATGAGGGACAGCGTCAGGATCAGGGTCAGGGTTAGGGTTAGAGTAGGGTTAGAGTTATGGTTAGGTTAGGGTTAGGGCAGGTTACGATCAGGGTTATGGTTAAGGTTAGGGTTAGGGTTAAATGCAGAGCTAGGCTTAGGGTTAGGGTTAGGGGTTAGGGTTAGGGCTAGGTGTTAGTGTTATGGTTAAGGTCAGCGGGGTGCTGACGTAGGGGTTCAGGATCGCCAGTGACAGGGTCATGGGTCATGGTGTAGCGGTCAGCATTCAGGGTCATGTTTAGCATTAGGGTCAGGGTCCTGGTCAAGAGTCAGGAAGCAGGTGGTCAGGGTCAGAATCAGCGGTCAGCTGGTTTATGTGTGTTATTAGGGTCATGGTCGGTCAAGATTATGGGTTAGAATGTGTGTTAGATTTGTATGGTTAGGGTTAGGGTTATGTGTAAGTTTGTTGTGAGGGTTAGGTGACGGTTAGTGTGGTATGTTTCTGGTGTGTGTATATGGTTGTATGTGTTAGTGCATACAGGTCAGGGTCAGGGTTACGGTTAGTTGGTCTTGTGTGATGTGGTGGAGTTCATGTTATGCGTCAGCGGTAAGGGTCAGATGTCATTAGCTGTGTTAGTGTGTTTCAGTGGTCCGCGTCAATGTTTAGACCTATGGTCATTTTTCAGAATCAGTGTCAGGGTTTTTGGTTAAGGGTCAGGGTCAAGGGTTAGGGTCAGGGTCTATGTGTTCAGGTTAATATTAGGGGTAGCGGTTAGCAGTTAGGGTTAGGGTTACGGATACGGTTAGGTTTAGGGTATGGTTACAGTTAGGGTTATCGTTAAGGTTAGTGTTAGGGCTAAATGTGGAGCTAGGGGTTAGGTTCAGACTTTGGGAGCAGCGGTTGGGTTAGGTTCATTATCACATAGGCCTTAGAACGAACACTTATGTTTGTTGTGATGAATTATGCGAGAACTACGACACTGGTTCGAGTAGTGAGGAAACCCAAGGTTTCCTATCAACTACACACTGTCACTCTATGATGGACTGAATACTAATGTCTTTTGATTATCTTTATGATGTAACCCATTGAATCTTAGCGGTTGTTTCCCCGCGAACCAGAGCCTCTCCACAAAGACCTATTAGTGCCATTGTAACTGGATTTATTTCTTAATATATGGGAAGGTTTTGTTTCCTTAGACTAGTAAATCATCATACAGAGTTTTATTTTAAGTTTTTCCTTTTGTGCATTATCTTCATGGCTATACTCTCCAGGGAACTTGTTCTTCTGGAAATCATATTTAATGATTATGCTGGGGAAAAGAATCCCTTTTCAATAAATGGTGCTGGGAAAACTGGATAGCCACTTGTAGAAGGCTAAAGCA